TCAGAGGAGGGACTCCCAGTACTGCTGCTTCCCGGGTGACTGTGGGCAGGCCAGCTCAGACGCCCAGCCTCAGTTTCCTCAGCTGGTATAGTCATAAACAGTACCACCCTCACAGGGCTGGGGGCTAGCATTGAGTGAATGAATGCGTGAAGCCCTATCTCACCCCTCAATCACCCACAGCTCTCACGGGTCACCGCGAAGCGATGCAGCCCGGGGCTGCTACTCAGGTGGCTTCTTCCACCCACGCCACCAAGAGGACACATGGATGTCCCCGGACCCCGTCCATTCAAAGCCCAGCTTCGGGGCCGGACCCTGAAGGCGCAGCCTTCTCCCCAGGACTGGACGGGTCACCGTGTCCAGGAGAGTGAGGAGTGGCGTCTCTGTCCTGCTGTTGTCATAAGACGGAGGCTGAGGGCCAGAGCGAGAGAGCAGGCGGCCTTCCTGCGGAGCCGCTCTCCAGGTGTGTCAGCTCATCTGCACTTATGAGGCAACACAAGCAGGGTTTAAAAATACTATGCTTGTTTCATTTCAGTGCAGGAGGGAGAAAGAGAACGTACAGCCTGTATGAGCAACTCGAATCAAAAATAAATGAGGCACAAAGAGTAACCAGAAATAGTACAGCATCGGAGGCAGTAGCCTGCGTCCGTCGGCCCAGCTGTCCCCAGCAAGCAGCATCACAGAGAGCGGCCAGGAGCACAGCTCTACATGTTTATTCCGGAACAGAGTAATCAGGCCTACGATCCGATGATAGATCAGAATTACTGGCAAAGTAAAAGCAAGACAATGACTCCGGGCACGCAGGGCCTCTGTGCATTCTCCCCTCCGCCCCTGGCACCCCCTCTGAGCAGTGGGCCAGGGCTCAGCCTGCAGGTGGCGTGAGGTCATCTCTGACCTTCCTGACACAGAATGTGCCCCCAGAAGGACAGGCTCCGGCTCCCTGCAAAGCTGAGCTGCAAATGCTGTAGACCTCATGAGGATCCGTACTTTTGTCTTGATTTCATTACGGTGGATGTCACCTTTTTTTTTTTTTTAATGTCACAGATCAGAGTTTTGCAAATCACTCCAGCCCACCCCCTGTTTTTGTGAACAAAGATTTATTGGAACACAGCCACCCGCATTCATTCACATACCATCTCTAGTTGCCTTCGCACAGCTTTGCGACAGAGACCTTCTGGCCCACAAAGCCTAAAATATTGACTCTCTGGCCCTGACCTGCCCACACTTGTGGGCTCCTGCCCTGGGTGCTTTTCATCACATGCTCAAGCACCCTAGGGAAGTATCCTGTCCACCTAAAGACAACATCGGTGATAGGGTTTTGTTTGGTGGTGTGTCTGTGCTGTGATTTAGGGCTTTAGAGGTGTTGTTTGGAAAGGAAAAAAAAAGATTCTGCAATAATTAGGTTAGGTTCTCTTAGGTGAGGAACATCATTTGGGCAGGGATATTTGCATCACACAACTAGACTCAGACCCCACCGTGAAGAGAAAACATGCAGGCCCAGGAGGGACCGTGCCCTTGGGGGGATCCCTTTCCCTGGGACGTTGTTGGGGTCAGGGCTCCACACACCTTCTCTACAAAGGTCTGGAGAGCCAATGTTTCAGGCTTTCAGGTAATGTGGTCTCTGTCGAAACTCCCCCGCTCTGCCACGTAGCGTGAAAGCAGTCGTGGACGAAGGCGCTGTGTTGAATTCATGTGTTGAAGTGCTGCCCCCCACCCAATATTTGGAGGCGGGGCCTTTGGGACGTGATTAGGATTCGATGAGACGGTGAGGGTGGGGCCCCCTGATGGGACTGGTGCCCTTATAAGATGATGATGAGACCCCAGCAAGCTCGCTGGCTGGGAACCAGGACTCAGGCCCTCACCTGACACTGGATCTCCCGCGCCTTGATCTTGGACTTCCAGCTTCCAGAACAGTGAGAAATAGATGTCTGTTGCCTCCCGTCTATGGCACCCAGAGCAGATCAAGACAACAAATGACCATAGCTCCTTGCCAATAAAACCTTATTAATGGACACTGAAATTTGAATTTCATATAATTTCTGTTCCCATGAAATATTCTTCTTTTGTTTTTCTTCCACCCACTTAAAAACATGAAAACCACTCTTAGCTCACAGGCCATGCAAACTCAGGAGATGGGCTGGTTTGGGCCCACAGACCCTTGCCAAACCCCGTCCCAGAACAAGGAGGGAGCCTCCCCCCATCCCTCGCAGCTATCAGTTCTGTGCGCCTTGTCGTTTCCCGAAAGATCTCAGCAAACAGCAAACTGAAGGATGTGACCTCGGAGTTGATGTTCCAGAAGGAGGCCACACCCAGGGTGGCTAATAAAGCGCCCAGGCTCTGAAGTCAGATCCTCAGGCATCAGATCTCTGCCCCTCCACTTACCCGCCAGCTGACTCGGGCCCAGTGTCCTCGGCAGCATGATGGAGTCACCCAGCCGCCTTTAAGGTTCTGTCAGGGTTCCGTGTGATGGCCAAGTGAAGCATGTGGTGTGACATTGGCCCAGATTGTATTTATGAAGTCAGAAGCCTCGTGGGAAAACATCAAAAGACGTGGCAGGTGAGCGAAGCCAGAGGTCTCTATGTGCCATGAGACAGAGAGACTGCCTTTCTTCGTCTCCAGGGAGCAGAAGTGGGCCCAGTGGGGAGAGTTACAAGGACACCGACTTCAAATCAACATAAAAAGGATCTTTTCCATCATTTGAGTTATCCCCGGGGGACTCACCTGCTCAGAGTTCCCCATGGGTGGAGATTTTCGAGAACACCGACGTGGGGATCTCGCAGAGGGAACTGGTGTCTCCATCACCCTGGACCTGGGCTCTCTGCCCCCGACACTGGGAGAGTCTAGGACGAGTGAGATCAGTACTCCTGCTACACCTGGGGAACTCGACCCCCACCCCCCAGGGTCCTGGCCCAAAGGAACGTGAGTTATATCAAAGCAGTGCTTGCTCCTTAAATTGTGGAAATATCCAGAACCACTGTGAGGCTCCCACTTAAAGGGAGAATATCTTTGATGGTCCCATGACCGGTCTGGTTCACGATCTTGTTCTCTGGTTGAGTCGTGGGGGACAGGACCTGCTGCAGGTCACCCCATTAGGGCCTTTGCAATGCCACCTCTTACCCCCTCCCCGATCCCGCCTGAGACTCCCCCTGAGCCCCCAGCATTACTCCTTCTGCTGGAAATGGAGGCAGAACTTGGTTGGCAGCCTCCGCCGTGGGGAAGAACGTAGCAGAAGACTCTATTCCTTTCCATGAAGAGAGCAAACCTTTCCTGGAGGCCCCACCCCCCAGGGCTCTGCCGATGATAAAAGCTTGAGTCCCAGCCCACGCTCGCTGGGAGGTGATTCAGGAAATGGGGCTCATGAGTGGCAGTTGGGACAGTCAGCAGCCCCATCGCCATGTTTACTGATCCAGCTTGAATGTGGAGCTCAGACTCCTCGGGGCCGGAGAGGAGCCGCTCCTGGACTCAGTGGGCATGTCTAAGGCCACCCCATATTTCATAGTTACCTGCCCTCCCCGTCTGAGGTACAGGTAGGACAGACACTTGGGGCTGGGGATGAAGCTGAGGCCGGAGGGCAGCGACCCTGCATCTGGAAGCCGGCAAGCTGCAGACGTGCCCGTCATTTGAAATGTTCCACGTTTGCCTGCTGACGGGAGATCTGTGATTTAAGAATTAAGCCAGCCTTCTCAGACCCACAGGGTCACGGTGAAGGCCCGCGAGAGTCAGGCCCGTGGGGGCTGGAGGGGGCTCCAGGGCAGCGGGAGGAAAGAGCCCCGGTCTAGAGTCAGACATGCCTGGTTCCCGCCCCAGCTCGGCCACCGACAGCCCAGTGCGCTGGGGCAAGATGCCATGTTCTCATCTGTAGAAGTGCTTTTGCCTGTGGGGGTGACGGGGGAAAGGCTGGGGTGCGGCCCAGAGGGGCTCCCTTCCCCCACCCCCTCGTGGTCTCTCTTTTCCATCGTCCCCTTCTCTCTCCTGTTCACCTCTCGTCACTTAGGAGATACTGAGCGCCCCAAACTGTTTACTTCTCCCTTCTCTCTCCTCTTTGCCCCATCACCCCGTCTGTGTCTTAAACCTGCTGGGGACCCATGGCGGCGCCCCCGATCTGATGCACGTGGGCCAAGCTGGCTGACTCCCGAGCCCTGTGCCCACCCCTGGGGAAGAGGGAGCCCGCTCCACTCCCCAGAACCGTGGGTAAGGGGGTGGCTGGGGCTGCAGCTCAGCACAGCACAGGTGGCCGGCACAGGGGAGGTAGAGTGCTCCGTCCAGGTCCGTCGTTGGCCTCGCTCTCCCCCAGGTGAGGGGCCTCCCCGGGAAGGAAGGGCAGAGCAGGGAGAAGCAATAGGGAGATGGCCCCCTCACACCTGACCTCCCGGGCTGCCCCACCCACGCCTCATGCACCGGCATCTGTCGAAACTCCCCCTCTCTGCCACGTAGCGTGAAAGCAGTCGTGGACAAAGGTGCTGTGTTGAATTCATGTGTTGAAGTGCTGCCCCCCACCCAATATTTGGTACCCGGGATAGGAGACAGGTGAGGCAGAGCCCTGCAGAGCTCAGCGCACAGCTTTGGGGTCTGCCAGCCCTGAGTTCGAATCCTAGCCATGGGCCTGACCGTTGACCCTCCGTGTCATCATCTGTACAGTGAGGAGAGCAGCAGGACCCCTCTGAGGGCTTGGGGATGACCAGATAAGGGGACACAGGTGAAAGGCCTGCAGCCCAGTGCTGGTAGAAAGCTGGGGCCAAGAAGCAGGACCTCTCTGACACCACCAGGACTAGCTGCGTATCTGTCTCTCTCCCTCCCTGAGAAAGGGGCCCACTGCTTGCCCATTCTGGAGGGAGGGGGCACGTCCCACGTGCTTCCCCTTCTCACATCCCCTGCCCCCTCCCCCGAGAGGTGGCTGTACCACCAAGAAGGTCGGGGTGTCGGGGACCTCCCTCCGGCACGCCCGGGAATGGAGGCCACACCCCAGTGCCTCTGGGGGGGGCCCCCCCGGGCTTGCCAGGCATCCTCCCACACGCGCTGCGCCGACTTCCTGGCTGGCCCTGCAGTCCCGCGCTTCGCACACCAAAATGGCCTTGTCTCGGGAACAGGTACTGGGGTGTTTCAGGGATCCTGTTCCCTGAGTGGGTTTTGTGCTCGAGGGGGTGGGTACCCCAGCTCCCCAAGCAGGGCTTAGAGCTCCCCTGATAGCCAGGGTTCATCAGGCCAGCCCCGTCCCCTGGGCCCCACACCTGCACAAGACTGGCTGCCGCTGGGAGGGGAGCCCCCCGGCTGGACCCAGGCAGGGCCCACGTGGCCATCTGTCGCAGCAGCTCAGCCGAGCCGCTACAGGCGTCCGCCCCGCACGGGGACGCGGCTGCTGGGCAGGTGGCGGGGGTGGGGGGCATCCCGGGCTGACACCCAGTGGAGGTATCTGACCGTGGCACAGTTCCGCCGGGGGCCGCCGGTGTCTGCTTTCATCCCTGGGGCAACAAGACAGGAGCTGCCTGGAGATCAGAAGCACCATGGGGCCACCTCTGTCCCGCCGTGGGGGGGCAGAGGGGAGCACCAGCTGTCGAGCAACGCCTGCAGGCTCCTGGAGGGATCCCTGCCCATCTGCTGTCCCCTGAACCCCTGGCCAGGGACTTCCCGCCTCGGAGTGGAAAGTAGTTTCGCAGGCAGAAGTGAGGGTCCCTGCCTTAAAAATAAGTGAATGGGTCCCCACCCCTCTCTCCTGCAGAGCTGAGTGCAGGGCAAAGGGGAGGGCAGCTGGAGGACCCTGTGGAGCTCTGTCTTGGAGGGACAGCCTGCAGTCACCACTGGGGGAGGAGGGCAGGGGTGGTCAGGGTGGGAGCTCAGGGTGGCCAGAGGCAGGTGGCAGGCGGGACTGGAGGGCTAGAGAGCTTTGCTGAATGAATGACTGAGGGGAGGCCTGTGGTTACAAAGATTCCGGAGCACAGAGCACTCGGGGGCTTGTTTCCTGCTTCTTGCCCTGACTAGCTGCAGTCTGAGGTCCCCTCCGCCCAGGCGCCAGGTGAGGGCCCTATTTCACTTGTGATTGACAGGATCAGGATGGAGCCGGGAAGCCACCGCGCCCGTGGTCCCAGCTTCCATTTCCTCGCAGGGAGGGAGGATGGCTGTTCCCAAGACTGGGGGCCTTTGGCCACGGAGCCTGGCAGACTCCCATCCAGCACTTAGCACACCCTGGACATAGCTGGGAGCCACAGCAAGGCTTCTGCTTCAGTGGGGAGCCCCTCAGCCTGCAGGTGCATGAGAAGTGGGTGTGGATCTGGGTGGGCTGCATGCGGGGAGAGGCATTTCAGTGTTGCTTTAGGAAAGTTGGAATTTGGGGCCCATGATGGTTTGTGTTTTTTTTTAATTGTGGCACTAATTAGATAGGAATGGGGCCTCTGCCTGCAAGAGTGTAGGCCTAAGCCGAGCCCCATGCTGGGTTGACCTGTTTGTACTCAGGGAACAGGCATTGGAATGTTGCTTTGGAAAGACTGAAAAATTCTGGTCTGCCATCTTTTCAAGAAATTCTTATGGGGACTCCGTGGCTTGGTCCCAATGCCTCTGCTGCTGTCCGACCACGTGATGTGCACGCTGTTTCACGTCAGGTTGGCAGGTCACCGTGCCGCTCGGTCCCCCTGGCTCAGGAGCTTGGAGGGCAGATAGCAGTTTCTCTGCAGCAGAGAGCAGGGGGTCCTGGCCACAGCATCCAGCCCATAGGAATTTTTCACTGTTCTCCCCGCCACCCAGCTGTATTCGGAGCAAGATCTGATGATGCTCCTTGGGAACTGGGTTGTGGATCTCCAGACTGCCCCCCAGGGCCCCGGGCCACCCCTGCAGTGACTGGGCCTCTCTGCTTTACTCCCCAGGGTGACCCCACAGGCAGAGCCAATACCCCGAGCGTACTCAGACTCACAGGCCTTCGGCGGTGGCACACACTCTTGCTCACAGGGGAGGAGTGGGGTTTCGTCTGGCGGCACCCTGCTTGTGGGACAGAGAGGAAGGGTGTGTTACGCAAGCACCCTTCCGGATCTGAGTGGTTTTGAGCGGTTACACCTCTTCCTGTCTCTTGGCGAGTGCTGGCGCCGTGGCTCCTGCAGCTTCAGCCCCATAAAAGGTGGCAGTTTCGTGCCCTGTAATAGTCATAGTGGTACTGCAGGGCTTTGGCAAGAAGGAGTTCCAGCGTTCGAGAAGCAACGTGCGAAATGACATGAGTTCAAGAGGCAGGAGCTCGCATCCGAGCCCTGAGCCCCGAGGCTTCCGGGGAGACCACCTGCTGTCCCCCACGCCTGGCAGGGCGAGCCTCTCCTGTCTTCGTCCCCTCGGGCAGCGTGCACTGAGTACCCGCCGTGTGCCCGCTGCTCTGGGCGCTGGGACACAACTGGGCAATGAAAGAGACAAAGCTCCCTGCCCGGTGGAGCAGACATCCCCGGGGTCTCAGAGGAGACGGGGAAAGAGGAAACGTGGTGAGTAGTGCATTGCTGGTGTCTCAATAGTGACCAGCGCCGTACCTCCCGGTGCTCACGCCCACCCCCTTATTAGGATTGGCCTTTGCAGCCAAGAGAACAACATTTCTGAGCCTCGGGCCTAAAGGGCATCACAACTTCTCTCTCTCAACCCCTCCCTTGGCTGCCTTGGCATGAGAGAACCAGGTGGTGAGGAGGGGGCCCCTACTCACCTCTGTGTGTAGGAAACCTCTAACACCTCAGCCCAGCCAACACCCTGGCTGCAACCTCAGGAGAGCCCACCAGCCAGACCTGCCCGGCCAGGGCAACCCCCAATTCCTGACTTTGCAAAACCGTGTGAGAAATCCTTGTTGTCTCCCACGTAACCCATGTCACATAGGAATAGATAACTCACACAGTGTTGTAATTCTTAAGACCTCAGCTATGTGGGGACAAGCCTTCTAGAACCTTCGAGCTTCCAGGCTGATCAGGAATTGGGATGCAGCCACAGAGGGCTCAGGAAACACAGTTTTGTCATGACACTGAGTCGTACCTGTGTGTGGCTGGTCGCATCCACAAGAGATTAGCCTTTTTCTGGGGACGTGGAAAAGATGAGCAGCCCCTGAGAACAAAGCAGAGAGGCAGCAAGGGAAAAGCGATGTGGCAGCAAGTCTGAGGACCCTAAAAAGTGCTTTTCTGGAAGGTAAGACCACAGCTGGGAGCAGGCTGGGGCACGTCGGCACAGGGACAACTTCACTTGCCTTGTGCACATGGTGCAGATGCTGAGGAAAGAGGTATGATCAGGGACTCCCGGGCCCTGGGCCAGCACCTGCCCTCTGCCAGGGCCAGGCACAGGTAGATCCCAGCCCGTGGCTCTCACGGTGCACCCCAACCTGTGGGCACGTCGGATCTTCCCCGACTCCTGTCATCCTGTTTCACAGATGGAGAAACTGACACTTAGGAAGGTGGAAAAGTTTGCCCCAGGTCATACACCAGATCCGAACACAATGGGGCCTCAACTCCCTCCCTGACACTTGGAATGGTCTCCTCGGGTCACGCAACAAGGTGGGATTGTGTCATTAGACTGGCCCTGGAGGAGGACAGACAACGTACATGGTGGCTCTGGCGAGGTTTCGGGTCAGAAAGTCACCCAGAGCTTGAAGTGCTAACTTCGCATCGGGAGTTTTGGCTAAAAAAAGGTTCCTGCCACCCAAGTGTTCTTGTGCTCCGGAAGGAACAGTGGGGAGACAGGGGAGGCCTCTTCCAGTAACCGGAAGTCCTTCTCACGACTCACCAGAGTCGTATCTTCATGAGATAAGGATGACCCGCAGGTTAAAGCCAGCAGAGCGTGCTCCCAGGAGGGCAAAAGTCACCTTCCATGTAACAGTCCTGGTGGCTGGCCCCACATCCCAAGGTGGCTGGCGGTGCCCAGTCTAGGCTGGGTGGCTCTTGCGCGTGCAGCTGTCCCCTTTGGACCAGCAGGGTGGTCTGGGGCGCGTTCGTCCGTGGCCGTGGTGGAGCAAGTCTCCTGTAGCTGAGGCTGGAGCTGACACATTGTCATTGCTCATCTGGCCAAAGCACGTGTGACTGTGTGAGTGTGCGTGCGTGTGTGTGCGTGTGAGCAAGTGCGTGAGTGTGAGCATGTGTGTGCATGTGAACGTGTGACAGCATGAGTATGTGTGAGCGAGTGTGCAAGAGTGTGTGTGTGTGAGTGTGAGCATGTGTGTGACAGCATGAGTGCGTGTGAGCAAGTGTGTGGAGGAGGGCATGTGTGTGAGCAAGTGGGTGTGAGCGTGTGAGTGTGAGTGGAGAAATCAGGGAGAGAGCAGAGGGAAGGCGTGCAAACGAGACAAAATACAGACAACGGGGGAATGGGATGAGAGCACACGGGTGTTCATTGCTGTGCTGATTCTTCACAACTTTAATGATATTTGGAAGTTTTCAGAATAGTAAGCTGAGGAGAAAGGCAGTGCCCACAGATGGAGCCCCCGCCTCTGAGGGGCCTGCCGTCATTGCCAGCCGCCTTTCCCATGATGATGGAGAGCTAGGATTTACCCAACATCTTCCCTCTTGAGCGCAAAGCATTTTCGTGTCTTCCTTCTCTCTGTTCCCGTGAGAAAGTATGGGCGGGCATTTGTGAGCACTCCATGCCTCAGTTTCTCCGAGGATGACTCAGGTGGCTTGCTCAGGGACCAAGTGGAAGTGCTGGGGAAGGGGGACCTAGACTGTGGACTCCCAGGCTGCACCCTGAGCCAGCTGTCCCTCCTGGGCCCGGCCGGTTCTCAAGTGGTTTCTGAAGCCTTTGTCCAGAGCCGTCCCTTTTGAGCACAGGGACAGCCCTGCCTGCCCGCCTCTCTCCCTCCGTGGTGCCTGGGATTGGTAGCATCCCGCTAGGACGTCAGCTTCTCTGGGATCGGCCGCCGGGCACATGCAGTCTCTCCTGGTTGAACTGTGGCAGCTGCAGAGGTCAGGGCTCCGGGCAGGTCAGCAGAATGCAAGGCAGGGGGCATGGGAAGCCTCCCCAGTCCCCCTCCCTCCCCTGGCAGGTAGCAAAGGTGGCAGCTCCCCAGGAGGAATGAGGTTGTCCCTCGTGAAGTGGGCACCAGAACGTGGCCAGTGCCTGAGCTGGGGAGCTGGCTGCTGGCTCAGAGGGAGCCTGACCTTCAGGAGTCCAGGAGGGCAGAGGCGAGGAGTGGGACAGATGGCTTCCTCCGGGACACCTCCCTAGTGTCCCTACTGGCAGCTCGTAGCTCCAGTTGTCCCCATCCCTGTGGCTGCCCTGAGCACCACGTGTGGGACAGAGCATTGCACCCTCCAGAGAAGACTGGGAGAGATGCCCATAGGGCAGTTGAACAGATGAGTCTGGGGCCCAGGGGAACGACGGGGCCTGGAGGTACGACCACAGGCCTTCTGGCATAGCAGCGCAGTTCAGAGCCAGAAGACAGGTGGAAATCTGAGGAACCTCATGTAATGGAAAAGAAAAAAGGTTAGGGGCGCCTGGATGGCTCAGCCGTTTAGCTTCTGCCTTCGGCTCAGGTCATGATCCCAGGGTCCTGGGATCGAGTCCCGCATCGGGTTCCTTGCTCGGGGGGGAAGCCTGCTTCTCCCTCTCCCGCTCCCCCTGCTTGTGTTCCCTCTCTCGCTGTCTCTCTCTCTCTCTGTCAAAAAATAAATGAAAATCTTTAAAAAAAGAAAAGAAAAAAGGTTCAAAGTCAGGTGAGCAGGGGCAGCCAAGGAGACTGAGAAGAAGCAGCGGGAAGGCAGGAAGACAAGCCAGACAGCATGGGTCCCAGCAGCCCCGCCGTCACCCCCAAACTGTGGGCACTACCGGACTTAGCAACAGTGACCTTGGCAAGAGCAGCTTCTTCCGAGCGGGGAAGGCAGAAAGGCGCATTGCAGGCAAGAAAGGACAACTCTTTTGAGGAATTTTCCTATGAATGGAAGGAGAGAAATGGGGCAGTTGGTGGAGGAGGAAGTGGATCCAGAGACTGTGCTTTCTGTTTTCTCAGACGAGAGAAGTAGTAAGTGGCTGTCTGCAGAGGGCAGTGCCTCATAAAGAAGGAAGAGCCAGCGCAAGAGTTGGGGTGCTCTTGAGTGGGGCCGGAGTGGGGTGTGTGCTCAGGCGGAGCGCCGTGGCCGTGGCCGTGGCCGTGGCCGGGTCGTCCAGGTGGCAGTAGCAGGGGAAGCAGGATGTTCGGAGAGCTGATGTTGGTGGGTGGGGGGAAGCTGGTCTCTGGTTGCTTCTGTTCCATCAGTGAAGTGGAAGCAGCAAAGCCAAGAGCTGAGAGGCGCCATCTTGGAGAGTGGGGGAGAGCGGCCTTCAACTGGGCTCAGCCACCTTTGGCTGTAAAGGGACAGGTAGTGCAGCAAGCCAGACCGTGTGTTCAACGCCACAGCGTGGCACAGACATGGGCACGGTTCATGCCCGAGTGGGCACGCAGCTGTTCCAGCAACACCTCATTTACGGAAACAGGCAGCAGGCTGGATCGGGTCCGTCGTTCGTAGTCTGCCCATTCCTGCTCCAGGACCAGCAGTCCTCAAAGCGTGGTCTCCGGACCAGGAACACGAGCATCCCCTGGGGGACTAGTTAGAAATGCAGATTCCTGGGCGCCTGGGTGGCTCAGTCGGTTAAACGACTGCCTTCGGCTCAGGTCATGATCCTGGAGTCCCGGGATCGAGTCCCACATCGGGCTTCCTGCTCAGCAGGGAGTCTGCTTCTCCCTCTGACCCTCCTCCCTCTCATGTGCTCTCTGTCTCTCATTCTCTCTCTCTCAAATAAATAAAATCTTTAAATAAAAAAAAGAAAGAAAGAAATGCAGATTCCTGGGCGCACCCCGCATCTGTGGAGTCAGAGACTCTACGTCCCTACACCGTCTCAAATTCAGACTGAGTTTGTGATTCTTGAATTCTGGAAGTTAAACAGCCCTGAGTGCCCGAGCTGGGGATTGAGACACCACCACTCAGTAGCTGGACCCAGGGAAAGCCAGAGAGGAGAGGGTGGGGGGTCGGGGGGAGTCCACATCCGCCGATTAAGGGCACAGGCGTCCCGGCCTGCTCTGGGCTGCCCGGCCCCCATCTCCTTCCACAAGACCCTGTGAGGACATCCTGCCCCCCCGGCCACCCTTCCTCCCCGATGACCTCGGGACCAATGTGTTTGGACACGGTGCCTGGTGCTCTGCGCGCCCTCGGCTGTGCCTTCCTGCCCGTGGGCAGGGCTCTGTGCTGCACAAGCAGCTACCAGCACCTGCGCACAGTAGGGCCTCAGCTGACACTGGGCACCCATGAACCCACCACCCTCTGACTTAAGGTTAATGACTTTCGTGAGATGGTTGGGTTTCATGCCCTGTGTGACCTGGCAGAGCACACTCTAGGAGCACCTAATGGGCACAGAGGAGAGGCCCCCCCCACCCCAAAGCTTCAGGGACTCAATGCCCCGGAGCCGTGTAACCAAACTCTTTCCGCAGGAAAGGCGCTGTGCCTCTTTCTTGCATAGATCTGGGCGGGGAGGGCGGGGTCAGGCTGGTCCATCTGGGGACAGTGACCCTGATGGAACCCCAGAGTTTGAAAGAAAAGGTGACCAAGAGGCCTCAGGGTCTGCCTGGAGCCATTCTACCAGGTGCAAATGGACAGGGCCATGCGGACAAGGAGCCCCGGGAGAGGTCAGCCTGGGTTACGGCATTGCAGCTCATGAGGAATCACCTGATGAGCCCGAAGATTGGATTCAACATCAGCCGAGGATCCACTGCTTTCTTTCAGGATTTAAGTGCATTTTTATTTCATTCTGTCATTTCTTTCTGAATGAGGTTTTTTAAAGAATAAAACTTTGGGGACCTTCACTGACCCCATCATTTCTGTCATTTCCATGAGGCTGTCACTGTAGTGACTTTGGCTTACATTTCCTGTCCCCATTTTCCCAGCATGTTCACACACGTGCGCACACCCCTCTCTCAGAGGGGAGCTCAGTTATGAGCGAGACGTAACCTAAGCCCCGTGCCAGGGGGTGGAGGGCATCCAGAGGAAGCCCGCTTCCTGCCGACGGGAGGTCCTCGTCCTGGAGGGAGGAAGAGTGAGGTGAACAAGCCCTCCAGATGGGTATTCAGCGGAGAGGCCCCAGTGGGGGCAAGCGGGGCTATATTTTGAGCCCAGACCATCCCTTTGCCCATCGGCACAGAGCAAGGTAATTTTGGATCAGGGACCGTCACTCTTTTGGGAGCCAGGTATTAAATCCTGGCTGAGTTCCAAGCCCTGTTCTAGGCATAGTGGCAAAACCAGCAAAATTTCTGTCCTGGTGGAGCTTGCCCTCTGGAGAGAGTCAAGACCTCACAACTCAGGGACAGACAGCAAGAAGGTCGCTGGTGCTGACTGCATGGGATAGGCAGGGTGCCGGGAGAGAATCCCAGAGTGTGACCGTCAGGGGCAGGCTCCCCAAGGAGGCCCAACAACGAGAAGGTCTGTCGGAAGGGCATTCCAGGCAAAAGGAGCTGTAAGTGCAAAGGCCCTGCAGAAGGTGTGCACTTAGCTTGTTGGAGAAGAGAAGAAAGGGGTGTGTGACCTGATCTCCTATAGAAGCAAATGCCCCTGGCTGCCGGGTGGAAGCAGGGGGCACAGTCAGGAGGCTGACCTGGTGGTTCAGGTGACAGATGGTGGTAGCTCGGCTTGAGGGTAACGGGGAAAAGTGAATGGACGGATGTGTCTGTCATATTCATTCTCTGTTGCTGCATAAAATATGACTGCAAACTTAGGGACTTAAAACACAGTTTCTGTGGGTCTGCTATGTCTGCTGCTTCAGGGCCTCACAAGCCTGCAGCCAAGATGTTTGGCCAGATCTGTGGTCTCATTTGAAGGCTCAAATGGGGAAGGACGCTCGGAATTCCAAGTTCACACAGCTTGAAGGATTCACTTCTCTGTGGGCAGTTAGACTGAGGGCCTCCGTTCCTGGCCACACGGCCCTCTCCAGCAATGGCAGCTTGCTTCTCAGAGCCAGCAAGGGAGAGAGTCTGCTAGCAAGACAGAAGGCACGGTCTGCATCACCTGATCACGGAGGTGATATCTTGTCACCTGTGCCATGACCTGTGGGGCGGGAGCAAGTCACACCCACGGGGAGGACGTGAGTCCCAGGAGCCGGGGTTATCTGACCAGCTGCCTTCCTGAAAGCTGAACAGCGACACCAGCCAGCACTGGGCTGGGAGAGGGTGGGAAGCTGAAGCATCAAGGATGAGCCTGGGGGATGGTGGTGCCACTTCCTGGGACAGTGGAGACAGTCCAAAATTCTAAGTCCACAGTTGCCCCCTGGGACCACCAGAAGAGGGCTCCCAGAACCTTAGGAAAGCAGCTGGGGAGGCAGAACGACCTTGTGAAGCATGGGGGTGGGAGACTAGAAATCTGTTACAGAGCCACTGACCCCAACCATCAGCTTTGTCTGAACCCTCATGGGTTGGTCTGTCTGTCTGATGAGGGATGTACAGATACCCAACAAACTGGGCCTTCACCGTCACAGAGCCTCATGGGCAAACCCAACTGGTCTTTTGAACCACCGCCCCTCTATTCTGCTTCTCCTCCAGAATCTTCCCTCCGTGAAGAAGAGAGCAGGTCAGGACCAGTGAGGCCGGCTCCATGTATCCGGAATCGACAACAGGCTCCCCAGCTCGACTCTCTCTGCGACAGACGGGCTCCCCCGGCATGATCTACAGGTGATCCCCTGCCCCCAACCCAGCCAGGCCACTCCCAGGCTCAGTCCTGCCTCTGAGAAAGGGTCCCCGAGGCCAGTCACCAGCCCTGGATCCAGAGGGAAGGACCAAGGGAGGCCCACAGGGCTCTGAGGTTCATGTAGGCTAGCGCTTTCTCCAAGGGAAGGAATGGAAGCTTTTAAAACCCAAGATTTTCCCAGTGGAGTAGAGCCAGGATTAGACTCATCCCTGACTCTTCTGAAGGATTCCGCTGGAGGTAGCAGGCCTGGAAGTGAGGGGGGGACCCTTCCCAGCTTCTGCGTCTTTCTTATACACCCCAGCTCGCATACCCCCTTTGAGGGAGGCTCAGAGCCTTGCACCGGGAGGAGTGGGTGGGGGTGGGGCGGCTAGCAGCTTACCAGGCACCCTCGCCTTCCTTCTCTGGAGGCCAGTTCCAAAGCCAGCTCTGGGTCTTTCCTTGTGGAAAGCAGCCCGGGCTGAACCACGGGGAGAGCCCGTGAAGGCGTCGGTCAGCTGACAGTTGCTGCCCCATCCATGGAGCCCAGGACCCAGATGGCCGTGGCTGTCACAAAAGATGGACCCGGCGGGGGGGAGCCCCAGGGGCCCGTCAGCCCTTGATTCATTGGGCCTTTCCCAGTAATTGTTAGGGCCTGACCCAGAGCAAGTATCCATAGAACCCACAGGGAAAGGGGCGTGTCCCTCCTTGATCGAAGTCCTAAAAATGACCCCATGGTCCCACGCAGACTCGCCAGCATGTGGGGTGACAGGTCACTTCTTGGTTTGAGGGTTTTGTCCGGTCATTCTAAAGCGTACTTCGTTAAAACCCAAACAGACTGTCACTCTGAGGTTTACCTCTTGTCTTCGCTTCCCTGCCCCTCGTGGGAATGAGGCCAGGCACCGGAGGAGCCCCCGCGTCCGGCTGGACAGACCGGGCTTCTGCCTCCATGCGCCACTGGGTGGCGCTGCCACCGAGCACTTGGTACCCGGGCGCGCATCCTCCCGGCAGCCCCGGGCAGAGTGGGGTGGGGCCGGGCTGTGGGGTGCCGCTGGTGTTTCCCGGCCTGCACCTCCCCGTGGCTAATGCCCATTGTGGACTGTCTCTCTCTCCTTTTTCTCTGTCCTCCATCGCTGTCCGCAGTACTCGGTATGGGAGCCCCAAAAGACAGCTGCAGTTTTACAGGTAATGAGCCCTCCGTTTCCCCCAAGCCCCACAGGCTGAAGGCAGGGGAGCGGGCGGGAGGGCCACGCCCATCCAGCTCAGCGGTGCCGGTGAAAATCCCCAGCTGGTGAAAATCTGGGCTTCTCTGGCGGTGCCCTCCCACACAGCATTATGTAACATCCTGATGAACACTGTGAAGTCGGGCGCACTGTCTGTGCTCGTCTCTAGAATTTGCTTTGATTGGAGCAAACGGACTTGTGATCCCTGCTTAGCTCGCACCGGGTCTACCTTAAAATCTCACACTTGTCCAGCTGCAGATGCCGCAGGTCTGTTGTCCACGGGTTTGTGCTTCGTGGGTGATCCCAGTAAACGAGGTGGGGCAAACCCAACCATTCTCCCCTTCTCTTTGGGTTTGAACCGATTGGAATCAAAGGGGTAATCAAAGGCCAATACGTTCTCGGGGGCATGGGGCTGCAGTGTGACCTGGGTCAGGGCTGGACCTGCTGGTGTTTTCTGGGGCATCTCCCTGTTGGTGAATCGGCACACCATGTTCTTCGGTGCAAGGCTGCACCCCACAGGGACATGGCACCGACGGACCCTGCCTTGCAGCCCAGGCCAAGGCAGGTCAGCCAGCAAAGTCCTCCGGGGTGAGTCCCTTCCTCCTTCGGGCAGCTTACCTGTGGCGTGGGGAGGTGCGCCACAAAGACGTGTGCTTCTCGGGTAGTCTGTAACTCCAGGAATTTACTTTGACGTTTTCCTCCTGTCGGGAAAGTGTCGGGGTTAAGCAAGCCATGGGTCAGCCCCATCAGCCTCGGGACTGTGGGAACTCGGTGTGGCTCCTGGGAGCAGGGCCCTGGTGTGTGGCGTGTGCCTTGGCATTTATGCCTTGGAAGGTCTCTGTCTAGACCAGCTCCCCAGGGCTATGCCCACCTGCCAGTGCAGAGCCAGGGGCTGGTTATCGCCCATGCACGGGGAGTCTGGGGCCTTGGCTCCTGGGGTCGGCAGCCCTGCAAAACCCACATGGCTTTTCCTTCCTGCAGCCCCAGCACCTCTGAGCGTGACCGTGGGCCTGGGTCCTCGGGCTAATTTCGCCACCCCTTCAGTGCCTCCCACAGGGTCTCACTCCTTCCAGAGAGCCCTGAAGACATGACTGAAATTTCTGCTGGATGAGATTTTGCCTGAAATAGCTAGAGCTGAACTTGGGCTTGCAAATGCTTTTATGGGATGATGCGTGTGCTGTCATGCATGTATGACGGGCATCGTATGTAAGAATGTGGGTGAGACATTCGTCCCAGGAGGATTTGACCAGTGAGACCAAACATGCCTCTGAACTGAGTCCTCAGAGGCCCCGGAGGAAAAGAGTGAGATGGTTGGCGGCAGAACCGCGGCCCAGACCGCCAGTCAGAAGGGCCCCGCCGAGGGAGGTGCCCAGGAGATTGCGGGGTATCACAGAGCTAAAGCGAAAAGAGGGTCCCATACCCCTTGCTGGCCCTCAGGGCCCCACAGATCCAACCTGTTGTGCACTCCCGGGGACCCTCTGTCCTGCCTCGAGGCAAACTGTTGGACGCAGACCTCCGTCTGGGCCTCTCAGCCCCGCGTCCCCGATGCCCACAGGCTCCGACCGTCCTGCCCTTTGCGTCTCCAGTATGGTTTCTTGTAATAGACACTCAGGTATCTCTTGTGGGGTCTCCGACGATGACCTCTAACGAGGTGAGATCTTCGTTTAATATCCTGGGTGCCGCTCCCAGGGGGGCATCCTTGTCATCTGGGCACCCACACAGCCCTCAGAGGGTTAGGTCAGTCAGCGTGCGGTCCCTCCCCTCACAGGGCAGAGGTGTTCGAGGTGTGCGTCCTGCCCTCAAGCAGCTCACAGACCAGTAAGGGAGGCAAGACCCTGTATCAGCTGTTCCGGAGAATGCCATGTGACAAACAACCTGCCAACTCAGTGCCCTCCAACAAGAAGCGTGTATTTCTTGTTTCCGTGTCTGTGTCAGTTCATCCAGGCTGGGCTCCACTGGGTTTGGCCTGAGCTGCAGGTGGGGCCCGGGTGTTCATCCTCCCGTCCTTTTCTTTCTTTTTTTTTTTTTTTTTAAGATTTTATTTATTTATTTGACAGAGACAGCGAGAGAGGGAACACAAGCAGGGGGAGTGGGAGAGGGA